GAACGAGCAAGCAAGCAAGCAAGCAAACGAGTAAGAAAGAGAGAAATAAGGAAAGAAAGGATGAAAGAAAAAAAAGGAGTAAAAGAGTGAATTGGAATATAACAAGAAAGAAAGAAAGAAAAAAAGAAAAGATCCTTGCCGTTCTCCAATCTCTTGGAACCTTCGACCCGAGTTGTCACGTTGATCCACGAAATCCAGAATTTAAATGCGTCTTCGAGGAAATTTTCAAAACGAGTCGAAGATGTCTCTCTGGTAATACGGTAATTCATATATCTTTGAGCATACGTTATGTGCATGGTTGGGTTCTTCGATATGCACCACTGAGATCGGATACGATGTTCGCGAGTATAAGAAAAGAGAGAGAGAGAGAGAGAGAGAAAGAGGCAGGTGCATCACGGTGACACTCCCTCGATAATTCTTCAGAGAAAGAAGGACGGATGGAAGAGAAAACGGGATGAAGGGGGAACAGAGAGAAAAATGAGAGGGAGAGAGAAGAAGAAAGAGAAGGGAGCGAGAGAGAGAGAAAGAGAGAGAGAGAGAGGGATCCAAGTCACGAGTGTTATGTCTGGAGCTCGTTTATGCTACTTCGAGCTCTCTCATTCGGTACGGAAGGGGAGAGTTTCGAAAAGTCCGTCGTCGTCGTCGTCGTGGCAGCGTGGGGTCCGAGAGACCCCAAACGACAATCTTTTACTTTTTATCCTTTCTTAACTCCGACGAGAGAAAGTTACGTCGGTCCTTTCGCGCGTTCACCGACGAACAACGCGATAGGAGGAGGATAAAAAAAAAAGAAAAAGGAAAAGAAAGAAAAAAAAAAGAAAAAGAAGTCTATGAATAGAAATGCAAATAAAAGCGATCCATATTGTTATGCAAATGGCCCCTTGTAGGTATTACTCGCGGCCAAATCCAGAAGCGATCCCACTTTGGCAAGTGTACGTGAAAGTTCCTCCTCCTCCTCCTCCTCCTCTCTGAAAAACCCCACCCTTTTCCACCCACCCTCCTTTTTTTTCCTAATCGAGTTTTATAGTTCGCACTCTTTTCCTTGTTGCAAAAGAGGAAAATCGTAATCGGTCGATCCATAAATCGATAGATAGATATATATATATAGATCGATCCATAGATCAATTGGATTATTTTAAAAGAAATATTCAAAATCTGAGAGATTTTATCGAACTTGATCAGTGATTCGAGTGAGCAAACGAACGAACGAAAATAATAAAAAGTGCATAGGTCTTTCGCGAACGGTTCGTTAACGGAGATAAATATTTATGAGAAAGAGAGAGATAGAGAGAGAAAGAAAGAGAAAAAGAATGCACGATCGAAATCATCCCGCGGTCCCAGTCATTTGGATTAGCGCGTCCTCGCCGCGCGACCAACGGGAAAATAAAAATAATTAATTTTCCGGAAAATAAATATCAGCCGCGTATATGCATAATTCATAAATCGGAAAGGTCGAATTTGTACGTGGGCCCGGTTGTATCATACATAGGATACGCGCTACGTTTTCGATATACATATCTATCTATTGGCGGAACCCGTACCCCCAAACCCGAATGAATAACGCGTGGCTTCGTTAAACTGTATATTTCATCGACGTGTCTCTTATTCTCGATGAAATATTCCGATTTTGATTCGGCCCATCAATCGAATTCGTTCGTTCGTTCGTTCGTTCGACTATTCGTGTTTTAAGAATAAAAGAAAAAATAAAAAAAGTAAGAAAGAAACACAAAAGATATCTTTATATTCGTAATTTTCTTATCAATATAAACAAAAAAAAAAACACGTTTTAATATTATCCGTAAGGTAAATGTGATTTTTTTCTTTCTTTTTTTTTTGGTTAACGATATAAAGAAATTTTTCGATTATTCGATAATCTCGAATTATTAGATGTTTCTAAGAAATATATTTTCGATCATTTAATAATATATACGAAAAGTAATAACGTACGTTAAATTACTTTGCAGTACTATCTCGAAAACTTCGCGAAAGTTAATTATGAAATTCGAGTAGACAATGAGACGCTTATCGTTTGATTGGCTTCGCGACCGTGACAGTGTATACGTATATGCGTGTACGTGTGTGTACACTTCGTATCTGATAAAATACTGTTCCGCGGATCGATCACGCGTATCACGAGAAACGCTGACGATTTTACGAAGGATCGATAAGAGGCGTAACCGATAAAAAAAAAAAAAAAAGAAAAAAAAGAAAAAGAATGAGAGAGATAGAAAACAAGAAAAAGAAACAAATTCTTTTCCAATTTATACACACCATATATTATACATAAATAAAAAGCATACATTTAAGCGATTCTTTTAAGCATCCTTCCTTTTTCCAATGGTCACCGATATAAGAAAATGTTGACAATGAAAACTGAAGAACAAATTATCTTCATTTAAAGTTACGTAATTTTCTGAACGTTCATGCATAAATTTAATTTAGCAAGCCTAATATACGATGCAAAAGAAACACAGAAATAAAATGTCTCAAAACTATTTAGTGGTTTCGATGTAATTCTTTCGAACTTTAATTTATTGTTTCATTACATAGTGTAGTACGCATCGTTTCCCAAACAACATCTCAAACCAAACAAACATTTCAGACTTGGTTAACCAACTATCTCGTCTACGGTGCAAACTTTCATAAACGTTCTATGAGAACCTAAGAGAACTATCGAAACATCTTTTTCACTACCTTCGTAAACAAATGATTAACGATGATTGTAACAATTAATCAAATTGGATATAGTGACAAATTCCTTGTAGAACATTAATCCCTCGTCACGTTCCTAGTAACTCTCTTCTTCTCTCGATGAAAGATGACGAAAGATACTTTTTATTGATTTAACGTACAATCACGTACTTCGATTATATTTAATACGCTTAATTTGATATAACAAAATCGAAGATAATTCATGAAATTGACTGATCGTGTCTCTCATTCTAGATAAAAATTAATTAAATCTTCTACAGAGAGAATATACAGTTAGATATAAAATTTAATAAGATGAATTATATATGAAACAAAAATATCTATTGATTTTTGTACATGTTATATTTCCTTACAATTAAATTGTTTCACGAATGAATAAACTTTCATATGGTTTCAAAATTTTCTAAAGCGATTTAGTATTACAGAGATTACTCAGAACAACTATGTTAACACATTACCTCTTCATAAAGCAGTATAGATTATGACAGTAATTTTGTAAAAAAGAAAAAACAGCAAATGATATGAGATAATATATATAATTAGGATTTTAAAACGTTCGGGCATAGAACTAAGTTCCGTTATTTGAAAATGATGTTGTAAATTCGATTGTACCTTTTTTTAATAATTTCTCAAACTGTACTGAGAGATTACATTTAAAATAAAATCAATCAAATCAAATGACCAAAAACCAATACTGTACTGTTAAAAATAATACGTATGGTCATCTTACGGCACAGAGTGAAAGAGATAGAAAGATAGAGTATGAGACGTGGTTGAGAACCACTTTTGGAGGCAACGCACGACGCGGCGCATCGCTTTCGAGCTGCTCCTCTGGCAGGTGTATGAAAAGGGAAAAATAAAGGAAGAAAACAACGCAAAGGCCGGAGAAGAGAGTCCCTTCCCCCGCGATGACTGCCGAGAAAAGGCTCGGATTTATGGGCTCTTACATTAATTTCGAACGATTAAACTCTAACGATTCGAATGTTTCGCTCTCTCGAAGAGGCACGTGGCGACTAAAGAAAAAGGAGAAACGATAACGACGATGACGATGACACGACGATAATTTTCATCCTTTCGGAAAAATCTAAACGATCATTTCCTCCTTTTCCTTTTTCTTCTTCTTCTCAAGTTTTACCGATCTTTAAAAATTAAATCGTCCAATGATCATTTTCTCGATATTATTCACTTATATATAACAAATCAATTTCCTTGAAAATGATATTGACGAAACATGAGAACCATTCGGATCCCTACGAGATAACGTTTGTAAGTTAGTATGTATATACTGCATTCGTTCGAGAAGAAAAAGAAGAGAGAGAGAGAGAGAGAGAGAAGGGATGGAAAATATAAGAAGAAAAAAAAAAGAAAGAAAAAGAAAATAGAACGATGCTCTCCAGCTCTTTTAGTTCGGAACTTCGACGTGGCAGCACCGTCCAGGGCACTGACAGTCAAGAGAACCAAAACACGACGGTCGACTCTCCTCTAGAGTAAACTGCGAGACTGAGATAGTCAAACGCGCGAGATCGACGAAGAGGAGAGAAAAAGAGAGAGAGATAGACAGACAGACAGATAGATAGATAGATAGATAAATAGATAGATAGATAGAGAGAGAAACGATATAGAGCGAGAAAGACAAAGGTAGGAGGGGAAGAGAGCTCGATCGAGCGACGACGAGACGAGATGAAGAGAGCGGGTGTGAGAGAGAGAGAGAGACAGAGAGAATGAGAATGAGAAGAGAGGGAAAGAGAGGCAGGCAAAGAAAACGAAAGAGGAAGGAAAAAGAAAGAAGATACATTTTTGCCTTCGACGACGATGAGACACTACTACTCGTCTCTACGTCGACGCGCGCGTGGAAAAGCAAGACAAAACGGCGCACGGCTCTTTCGATTAGAGCATGATGAACGAAAGAGAAAGAGAGAGAGAGAGAGAGAGATAGAGGCAGAGAAAGATAGGGTGAGAGATCGAGAAACTGACAGAGAAAAAGAGAGGCAGAGAACGACTAGTAATGACGTTTCTTATTTAAGTATAAGATAAAATCAACACGAAATAACTGACACAACGCAACCATTTCTACCGAAGATGACAACGATGATGACAATGACAATGACAACGACAATGACAACGACAACGACAACATCGAGGAGATGAACGAAGGTTCGTCTCTCACCTAACAAGGGACGACGAGGAAGGGAAAATAGGAAGGTGAGAGGGGGAAGTCGGCAGGCGGGTGAGCGAGCACCCAGAGGATAGGGGAGGGGGGATAGTACAAGTTCGCGGACGGCGAGACTCACCGGGTTGCTTGTTGGCGATCTTGTTGAAGCAATTTTGAAAGACCTCGTAGAGATGCATCGGCTCGTCGTCACTGGCCGCCATGTTTTTACAATACGAGAAAACTAGCGTGGATGTCCGTGGTCGAGGCGAGTGGGCACGGTTTCGCGGTGCGGCCGCGCGCGGAGCCACCCTCCTCCCGGTACGGTCACGCACACTACTGAAGCGGACCGCTTCACGGATGGCGATCTTATACCTCGAATCTGCTGACCTCTAGCGGTTAACGTTTAAGCGCCACCGTTCGGTGAGCGCCACATTCAAATACATTATCTCTCTTCTGATCTACAATTAAGTGTATTTAAATATATTTTATATTTGTTCTCTTTTTTATATATCTCTTATTCTTTTTTTTATTTTTTTTTTTTATCTTAATTTATATTTTCAAACATAAGTGTGTGTGTGTGTGATCGTAAATAATTTATTTGGACATTGCGTTACATTGTTATAAAGAATTTTATTTGCAAATCTGCAGATAAAAGTAGTCGTACAGAATAGATCTACAAGTATAATATATTAAATCTGTTTGTATATATATAATTTATCATATATACAATTAATTAAAATACATGGTTATATTACGAAGTATTTTATATACAATTAATCGAAACATTTAACGCGATTTTAAAAATATTACTTGTTTGTGTTAGACCATATGCATGTACGTAATTAATAATAATGATAAGAAACAATATCATTTGTAACAGTATTAATTATTGTTATTAACGGCTCGACGTAAATAATAATATTCTATAAGAAATAGGGTAAAATATTTTATCGAAAGTATAATCTGTTAAAATGTAACTTGGCACTATAGTTACATTTAAAATCTGATCGATTATGTTCGCACTGGTATGTATCTTTGATAATATTTAATTACATTTTCGTTTGTTTGTCGCCTTGATAGAAGAAGTAATGGAAATATATTATCATATGAGATTCATAATATTATTGTTTAAGCTTATGTTAAGTGATCCGCTTGCAAAAAACAAATCCAAGATTGAACATTATAAGTTCTTACAATATGTACCATAAAAATAATCTAGATTCCAACGAAATCAGAATTTTGAGGTATCGAGTGAGATATGTCCTCGTAATCCTGTCGAGCTATACCTGCAATGTAAAAGAAATCATATTATCTTATACTATTAAAATTACAGTAACATTCACTTCCAAAAATACAATTTATAATAAAGCACATTGAAATAATAGCAAATAATTCAAGCACAATCATAAGCTATCATAAAATACCATAAACATAAACAAAATATTCACAAGCCAATGATAACAATAAACAATACTTTACGTAAAATTGAAGCGTTCACCATGCTCATACTTATAGCAGACAATTGTCGAAGCGATAAAAGGCTACCAAATGCACATCTGTATCCTATGGACTACTGACCCATGGGAGGACAGGATGTAAACATTGTAGCAAGACTTCCACCTCTTGCTTGTCCTATCCGCAATAGATATATACTCGTGACAACACGCACGATCAGGTTTATTATCATAAACGCTGCACTAAACTTCTCAGACGCATCTACAAGTTGGTGCGATCAGATACATCTTCTGCTTGGGCAGGATAATAAACAATTTGTAATTTTTACACATTGTCTATTAGTCACGCATACGACTTTCTGAACATACTTACATGCTAGACCAATTGGAAAGTAAACAGATAAAGTCACTATGTCGAAAAATATTGACAATACGTTTATGAAGAGAGCCTATAAAAATAAAATTAATACTTTAGCTTGTATAAAATTATTAACACTAAACGTATCATGATCGATCAAACGACTGATTATAAAATTTTTGGCAGCATTTCTTACAAGTTATAGAGCTATTTGATAAATCAAGAATTCTTAGTGCATAAATGGTATATTTTTTGCTATACACGCATCGTAAAATACATGACTTTTTGAAGATGAGTCATTTGATCTACTGTGATAGAAATAGTTACACATAAAGTATCAGTACATTTAGTGTTGATGATATTTGTAACATTAATTTTCAGTGATAACTAATAATGTGTATTAAATGAAACTATTTATTATTTATCATAACTTACAAATTGTAATGGTTCATCTGATTCAATGCTGTGCACAGCCCACAGTAGGCAGATAAAAAATAGTAAATTGTAGAACATCGCAGATCTTGGGCACCAATGTCCTTGAATACCCCTATTAAAAAGTATTTGATATTATCTTTATATAAAAAAATATTACTATTATTTAAATATTAACTTAGAGCGTATAATGCAAGAACATAATTGCAAGATTTGGAAATAATATTAAATTTGTAATTACCATGTTACGAGAACCAGATGAATTGCAAATATGACCTAAAAAATATATATAAAGACATGATAACTGTCATATTTATTTACCATTAAATAAGCATTATAATCAATGAAAAAACTTGTCTAACAACTCATGTAATCATATCATGGCATTTTTACTTTACATAACTAAATCACATAACGTATGGATATTATTCAATCAACTAACTACAAATATATTATTTTAATACAAAATATTAGTATATATTCTTCCATATATATATATCTTCATTATTATTAATATTTAATAAAATATAAAAGAGGTGTCTCTCTCTAACATAAATAACAGATAAAACGCCATAATGCACTTAAAGTATGATATGATAAGAAATATAGGATGACTTTATCACAACAAATATGATAATGATATAATGAAATATTTATAAGGATAATAAGTATTATTATTGTACTGCTATATAAAACGTTTACAAATAAATATAAAAAATACTAGAACAAAATGCATTTATACGACTATTAATATTCATTATATTTACCTTTAATGGGAAATGCGATATACTAGATAAATCTGGCATTTTTATGCAGTTAAAGTCTACGTGCCTTTCGTGAAAACAATTGCTTTCTTATTCCTTTTAGAGCGCTAAATACAACACTCTTTCGTATCTGTCACTAAACTACTTTGTCTCTTTTCCTTTCTATCAGCACTTCATAATGATATACACAGAATTAAGTATTGCGTATGTAAACGCCTTTTACGTTTACTGCCATCTGACATAGTTTTTCAAAACTTCGTTTAAAATTAGAAGCTAACCTTACTTACGTGTAAAACATCGATATTAGTAATCAATAGTACGACCTTACTTACACCCACTCTATTTGACGTAAATTTATACAAAATTTATAAACATAGCATCAAAGTTACTATGAATATTGAAAAAATATCTTTTTTGTTTTTAAATAAATCATTTTTAAAAATGTATTAATATCAAAAGAACTACATAAGAACAAAAATTATAATAATAATTAACTGTATTTTTTTATCAATAAATAATAATTATCTCTTTTTATTATAAAAAGAAAAAATTGAATTTAAATAAATCATAGTTGTTATTTATACTGTAACTACTGAATGAATATAAATAAATATATAAGTTTCATTAAAAAATAAAATTGTTAATTGTCAAGTGAGAAAGTTTTATGCACCTATATATAAAATTTATGTTAATTATAATGTATTGTTTTTTACAAACTTCAATGTAAATATTGTCAAGCTAATGAAGTTAAATTTAATGTTAATTGTTTATTAAATTTTGTATCATTATTTAATAGAATAAATATACGTCGGTATGAGCGCTACGATCTTTTTCTAACCAGTCGATAATGCAGTGGATGATACAAAAGTTATTAGAGGTCTCTGAACTTAAATACTTTCAAAAATCTTTAAGTAAATATTTTCTCATTTACGAAACACATATATTATTATTTGTGATACGTATTTTCACATGTTTCGCAACTTTGATAATTAAGATGACGTCACAGTATACTTCATTACTAAAACGTACTGATTATTGTCTATTCTAAAGTATTCGACATTGTTGAATGAAAATTTCGTGTATAGATCATGTTACGAAGAGGATTTTTATCTTTAAAACATGTTAGGTTACTTAGGAGAAATTATCATGATGCACCTGTCATTGGAACATCACAAGATACAAAATCATCTACTTTCCAAGTAAGAATAATGTGAAGTATTTATTTAAACAAAAGTAAAACAATGTAAACATCTGTTAACTTTAAATACTCGATTATCTATATTATAGTAATATTGAAATTCATTATCATTCTTTTCTTTTTATACAAATATGATAGTAATATTATTACAATAACTTTTAGATCAATATTAAATTAAAGATATTTCAAATTAGATTTTACATTGTTATAATGTTACGAGATAAGTATGTTGTGTTAACATGTGTGGGAATATTTGATTAACACTTGCAAAAATAATATATATATAGAAAAATAATATTAATTTGATATTAAAAAGTATTTGACAAAATTTTAGGAGAATTATCTACAAATGAAAATACTAGTAGATGAATTGAAATCTATTGTAGAAAAAATAGTAGAGGGTGGGGAACGTAAAGCCATAGATAAACATTTAAGCAAAGGAAAATTATTACCAAGAGAGCGTATCAATGTACTTCTAGATAAGGGTTCTCCTTTTCTAGAATTTTCGCAATTGGCAGGATACCAGATGTATGAAAAAGAAGAAATACCGGCTGGTGGAATAATAACTGGTATTGGTAGAGTAGAAGGGTAATTGAAATGCTTACAATTAATTGATACGTTACAATTATACTCATTATTAACTAATAATTACTTCATATAGGAATGAATGCTTAATAATTGCAAATGATTCTACAGTAAAAGGTGGCACTTATTATCCAATTTCAGTAAAAAAACATTTGCGTGCACAAGAAATAGCAGAAGAAAATAGATTACCTTGTATATACCTGGTTGATAGTGGTGGAGCAAATTTACCATATCAAGCTGATGTATTTCCTGACAAAGTACATTTTGGTAGAAGTTTTTATAATCAAGCTAATATGAGTGCTATGGGAATTGCACAAATTGCTGTAGTGATGGGAAGTTGCACAGCAGGTTTGATCTATTTATTAATTTAACTTTTACTATCTGTATTTCTTCAATATCATTTGATTTATTGTACTAAAGGTGGTGCATATATTCCTGCAATGGCAGATGAAAATATTATTGTTGGAAATCAGGGTACTATATTCTTGGGTGGTCCACCATTAGTGAAAGCATCTACCGGAGAAGAAGTTACACCAGAAGATTTAGGAGGAGCAGCTCTACATTGTCGGTAATTAGAATACATACATATTATTATGTATATTTCATTTAGTTATCATTTCACATCTTGTAATCTTAACATTTCAGAAAGACTGGAGTGTCGGATTACTATGCTGTCGATGACACTAATGCTTTGTACCTAGCACGACGAGTTGTTAAAAATCTAAATCGTATTCCTCCCATGGATGTAAAAATTGATTCAAAAGTGGAACTACCAGTACACGCTGTTGATGAACTTTATGGCATAGTTGGTACCAATTTAAAACAACATTTTGATGTACGGGAAGTTATTGCAAGAATTGTTGATGGATCAAGATTTCACGAGTTTAAAGCATTATACGGGGAGACACTGGTTACTGGATTTGCTAACATTTATGGTTATCCTGTAGGAATCATTGCAAATAATGGTGTACTCTTCTCTGAAAGTGCATTGAAAGGAGCACATTTTGTGCAATTGTGCGCGCAAAGAAAAATACCTCTTCTGTTTTTGCAAAACATTACAGGTTAATCTATAATACACATATACTACAATTAATTTTAATTTAACTTATTTATTGTTTATTTGTAATTAATATATATGTTTGTATGTTTATAATGTAGGATTTATGGTAGGTAAAGATGCAGAAGAAGGTGGTATTGCTAAAAATGGTGCAAAAATGGTAACAGCAGTAGCATGTGCAAAGATTCCCAAAATTACCGTGCTCATTGGAGGTTCTTATGGTGCTGGAAATTATGGTAATTTTGTTTATTACATTTGCGATGTATGTGTATGTATAAGAAAGAAATCTTTAATACATTTCTTTTGATATAGGCATGTGTGGGCGTTCTTATTCTCCTCGTTTTTTGTATTCCTGGCCGAATTCTAGGATTTCTGTGATGGGAGGAGAACAAGCTGCCAACGTAATGGCTCATATTTCTAAAGAAAAGCGTCTTCGAGAAGGCAAAGAAGTATAATTTCAAGTTTTTGTATTTACTTTACTTAAAAATATAAATTTTACTTACATTTCATATTATAGTTGACGGAAGAAGAAGAAAAGAAAATTAAAGAACCAATTATTAAAAAATTCGAGGAAGAAGGTCATCCATACTACTCGAGTGCTAGGTAATCTATACTTATTTTTAATGCTACATAAGTAAATAAAAAGAAAAAAGAACATGCGAAAGATTTATAAATTATATTTTCAAAGAATATGGGATGATGGAGTGATTGATCCAGTTGATACTAGAACAGTGCTTGGATTAAGTCTAGCTGCCTGTTTGAATGCTCCCATACCGGAAAGCAAATTTGGTATTTTCAGGATGTAATATATTCTAGGATATATTTTTATATTAGACATTTATCTATACGTTCATAAAAATGTATATTTATATCTGTTATAGTATATATAAGTGTTATGAAATTTGACAACGAGTCAACAACTTCCAACTATTTCGTGATCTTTTAGTTTTCAGAAAAAGTTCAAAGAAATGTATAAAATTATTGAAAAAAAAAAATATATATTTTTGAAATCGGTAAATTTGGAAGTTGTTGATCTAGACCAAAGAAAGATCTCTATTTTTATATGACAATATTTTATGTATAAAAATATATAGAACATTCCATAAGTTCAAACTATAAATCTATGAATAAAATTTCCAATTGAAATTCTCTCTCTATATATAGGAAATGTGCATGACATTAGCGTCGCCTAGTGTCCGCAACTTATCGGCATCTGTCAAATATTTGCAGTATGAAAATTGTTGAGTTAATTACAAGCAATTTTACAAATTTTTCTGTTATTCCATTCCTTTTACATCGACCTTATTGTTCTTGTTTTATTTTTGTTACAGAAATGTAAGTATTATTGATTTTTTCGGTACAATTTTATTGCACGAATTTAAATGTTTAACAAAATATTCATAATTAATTCTATATATATATATATATATATATATATATATATTTATTATACCTACAAATTTTTACCCATACAAATTCTTGTGTGTATTTTTGATCATCTTACCTCTTTTCCTACATTATGTTACGTGTTGTTTAAGGATTTTTCTAATTCTCAAACAGTGTTTTAGTGAAACCACGTTGTAAATAATTTCCTAATTCTTGAGTCGTGTTATAGAGCGAAATCACGTTATAGAAGTATGTGTATACGGGGATTATCTGTATTTCTATTTATATGTACTTCTTTTCATTATTGAAAAATATTGGAAATATATATATTTATATATAATAAAAACTAAAAAATCAATTAAGGTCAATAAAATAGACAGTAAATTAGTGACAGAGAATATATCACACATATGTGTAGTATTTAAATCGTGGTATCAGCCTTCGCTTTATTTTTACTTATGTTACAGTTAAGCTATAGTTATACCGATAATAATTAGCCATAATTATTTAATATCGTATAATAATTAAGTCATGTTAAAATATTATACCCCGTCACACGACTAGGTTTTTGGCTTTCTCCGTTCGCAAAGGCCAATTTTCTCGTGACGATCAATCGTAGAGAGAGTAGATCATGTAAATGTAAAAATTGTCTAAGAAAACACAAGAAGAAATGTATAGAAGAAAATTCGGCAGTCGCAGAACGGAGAAATCTCGTGAGTTTTCATTCTAAGTTATATATATATATATATACTTAAAATGAAACTTCTTCCCTTAACGCACCTTAACATCCCTTTATCACTGCCATTTAAACGATATTTATTTTTCATTATCACATAAAATCATATTGTATCGTTTAAGAGCACGGTATCGTTCGCGTTGAATGCCTATTATCATTTCGAATACGCCCTTTCATACGATACTTTATAATATAACCCGTGTTTGCTAAAAAAACAAAATAAAAAAAAAAAAAAAAAGAGAAAGAGAAAGAAAAAGGAATGAAAAATTTATTAGAAATTACACGTGTAATCTCTATAACGTTTAAAAACCCTTATTAATTATAAACCCTTTCGTGTCTATCTCTTATGTTTTTACATAAGAAAAAAAAAAAAAAAAAGAAAGAAAAAGTAGACATTGCACCTTAAGATTACACCATTTCACTTGAAAACTTAGATATCCCGTAATTTCGTTTTATTTACAGTCAATGTGTAATATTTACTTTTCGTTTTATAGGACAGTGTAGAGAGAGGCGAGGAAGAAGATGAAAAGTCCAAAGGTCGTCGCAACGTTAAACGAATCAGCAGCATTAGTTTCTATCTCGGTGAGCTTGTATTTGAACTGTTCTCTGACCTCTTCTGCTATGATTGGTCTTTCCTCTATTCTGACCGTCGTCGGTGCTGATTGTTCTTCTTCTGCGATCACTGCTCTTTCCTCGGTTCTATTCTTACCTTTTCGAATGAACTCCGATAGAACTGTGCGTGAGTATCATTAGAAGAAAATGGATTTAACGAGGATCTTGAGATGATTAATTGATCGTTCTTACGTAGAGTGAAGAGTGGTTTACCTTGATCTATCATTACGTCGTCCTCGAAGTCGACCTTGATGAAGGTAGACATGGTCACTTCGAACAATTTATTCTTATCCGTGTTCGACGATGCTATTGCTCTTTTCTTCCTACCGAACCCTACCTGTCCGTTACTGCATTCAATCTAGAACAGAAATGGTTCAATATGTAACGATAAAAATAAACATATTTATTTCGTTGTTTCTCATACGATTATTTCATCTTGGAATAATTCAATGAGAAATGTCTAAATAACGAAGCTAGAAGCAAATGGTTTAACCCTCTATAATCTCGTGTGATCCTACAATTACATATCGATATTTGGTCATTTATTGCCTAAATTTTTTAGCTTGAAATATAGAAGTATATCTATAATTTTGGAAAATCCACAATTCATTATTAATTTGTATTTGTTGTTTTACATTTTATAAATTCGTTTATAGTCACGAAAAAATTCGGTCTATAGAGGGTTAAATTTCTTTGAATAGTTTATTGAGAATAAATATTAGACAAAGAGAAGAAATATTTATGAAGCATTTTTTTTTATTGTTTAATTAAATGGTTTTATTATATTATAATTATCTTGTCTGTGCCAAAACTTACCCCTAGACATTTGTCCAAGCAAACATTAACCGTACCACGGAACTGTACGTAAGTACTTTCAGGGAACTTGAAAGCACGGAACTTTGCGGTAAGAAAATCACCATTCACGGTGTTAAAATTCTCGAATAGATATGGATCCACAGAACATCTGACAGTAAAATGGATGAAGTCGTTAAACATTTTGTTTTTACATACTTAAAAACGTGACTACTAAAACAATTCATTTTATACTCACCCATTGATGATTATCGTTTCTTCTTGCGTCTTTGTGTCGGTGACTTGCATATAAGTCACCAACAATCCGTAGATCGGTGCTGACTCATTGTCCAGAAAAATTTCCATTTGTAAAGGAGTACCAGGACTGACATTAAGTTCACCGGTAACCAAGGTTCCACCTTGTTTTACACCCACGCCTAGAATCGGAACGGGTGCCGAGACTGAGATTTCACCTCGAACTTCAATGATGCTAAAACGACAGGTAAGCTCTTATTTAATTTCGATTTTGTTTTTTTTGTGATAAAGTAAAATTGACAATAAATAACGCTCGTTGATTTTGATTAAACTTTTTTCTAATTATTTATTTTATTTTCAATAAATTTTTCAAAAAAAAAACGTATCATTCATTTTGTCAAAACCAGATCTTTCGTAATTGAATTGTATTATAAAGTATACACCCACAATTTTGTAAAATTGACGAGTAAATGAAAATATGTATTTTGTGGTATACATCATAAAAAATTTGATAATTAAAGAGCTGACAAGGGAGATGATTTTTGGGTATATACATTCGTATCATTCAATCAATAAAAATAGGACAAAAATTGTTAGAAAATAATAATCATGACTTTAGTAATTGTGCACATTAAGTTCGAAAACTGTCATATTGACGGATATCCTGTAAACCTAATGTTAATAGTAGAAAAAAAATATTTGCACAAAAATAGACTATTACTTATCGATATTCATGAAACACTTCTAATGTCGTCGAATTTCTTTTAGAGAACTACCGTTCATCGCGTAAACGTGCGGAACGACGACTATTCAAACTGTGAGTCTCGATCATCAGATTCTATTGCACGAAACGACGAGCATCTGTTGGACAAGACCGTTGCGTGCATCGAGAATAGAACAAGTAGGATAAACTACCAAGAGACTAGCATCTACTTTATATATAAGTTTATTTTTTATTTTTTTTTGTTTCAATAAAATAATCGCACATGCTGTTTCTAAAGTAAGTCTCAGACTGATGAAGTTACGAAAAAAAAAAAAAAAAAAAAAAAAAAAACATTGGATCAAGACTCGCACCGGAATAATTCGATGAATTTTGCCAGATGTTGAAGAAAAAGAAAAAAAAAAAAAAAGAATGAGTAATTTTCATCGTTCCTTGTCTAGAAACTCGCAGTCATCCGAAACGGTCGATGTTGGTAATCGTTTCGCGGTTAGACTTTCTGCTTTATCGAGATAACGACGAAGGAAGAAGAAGAAGAAGAAGTACTTTCGTGTACCGTTAAGAAGAGATAAATTCGTTATCGTGTCGTGCGAGATTCCCGAAAGTCGAAACCTTACCTAAACGGGGTAATTAACGTCAGATTTCAATGGGGGATTTCAATTCTCCGGGAAAACGAATCTCTTATCGAGTTTCAGAGAAAAGTACGTTCTTTTGATCGCAACACAACGGGTCTACCAACTACGTCTTTGCGAAACCCTGATTATTTGACAATAAAGTCCTTACGGTTTGTTCCTTAGTTACACGTCGGAGTAACGGAGTCTTCTCAATGACGGAGGGAAAAACATGTGACTATCGTTAGAATTATATTCAGGGTGGTCGAAATTATAATTAACATTGTCGTTTGAAAATGTATCAATATTTCAACTAGATTCTGATATAGACAGTAAGAAATATACTATATAGATTATTTGTAAATAATTATTATTAATTTAAAGGGGGGAGGGGTGATTTCAAATGACTAAATAAATTGGTTTTATTAAAAGGATTATTCATCACAAATCGAACGAATATTAAATATCAAATACTATGATAGTTAATTCAAGACTTATAATTAACGAAATATTTTATAATAAGTTGTTTCGAAGATAAAGAGAAAAAAAAGAAGTAAAATTGATTTTGAAAATTTTGAAACCTATTTCACATATAAGAAAAGTTGATACGTAATTATTGATGACCCTGTCCCCTTCTCTGCCTCTTTGAAACCAAGGAATTTTTTATTTTTAATTTTTCAGTAGACGTATTATTTAAAAGCAATTTAAGGTATGTAAGTTACACGAATCACGCTGTATAATAATAATTAAAATTAAAGATATTCAATAGAAAAAAATATGAAAAGGATTATCTCATGATCAGAATTTCATAAATCATTATTCAGCACTCTTAAATTATTTCGAAGATGAATGTTAGCAGGGTTCGGCGACCTCGACAATTCTCGCATGTAGAAAAAAAGATTATCGTTTCATCAATATCGTTGGAAGCAAAGTTCCTTTAAATAAATTATCGAGATAGCTTACAAAGCAGGCGCCCGTATCCATCTATACCTCGTACTTTATTTCCTCGTCTGAAAGCGAGCAAAAAACATTCTTATATTTTTTAGGCACAACCGCAGGGAGTGTCTTATCCAATCGTCATCGCAAAAAAAAAATATTTATAGAAATGGAATGTTTCAATTTTATTTGAAATTCTGCACGAATCGTGACGTTTTTTTTAAATATATATGCACTTATTTGATTTGTTATTATAATTATAAAAACAAATTGATCGAATAAAAGGTAATAAATTTGTATACATATTAAAAAAAAATGAAAAATGTTAAATATATTATTTACAAATGTTTAAAATACCGATAATCTTATTATAAATATTTCCAATGTGAAATATAAATGAAATTTTGTTTAACCAATTTTATAATTTAATTTACATATCAACATAACTAGTCGAACAGTATTTGCGTTCGTATTTTCTCGTGAGTTCCCCCCATTATCTCAAAGGATCTAGGTAAAGATCACGCGGAACGCGCCTTCGACACGGCACTTTCCTCTTTTCCAGGACACGGAGAAAGCGAGTGATTGAGAATAGAGGTCGACGTACTCGAACAACGCAACTCGTCCGGCAGAAATTACGTGGGAGGACTGTGGGAAGAGATTTAAATCGAACTACTTTTCGATACAAAAGCTATTGCAATATAATGGCTAAAACGAAGACAATAAACTTCCCGGTTTTTTTGAGATTTCATGTCGCATAATATGATAGAAAACGAAAATTTATGTACAAATATAGAAACAACAACTTTGTTGTCAGCACATCGTAAGAAGATTATTTAATTTAAAAAAGAAAATTAAAAAAACCTATTTTCTTTTTTATATTACCGATATTAATATAACAAAATCGTAACATCAAAGAACAAAAACAGGTTTGAAAGTGCAGTCTATATATCGAAATTAATAATTAACAAAAGAAATTTTTGTCTATTTTCAAGGGATGACACTTTCTTGTTAATTGATTTTCGTTTATTTTCTTATTTATAAATCGAATAGAAAATAAAAGAAATAAAAATAAAAGAAAAATGTGAAAAGAGTAAAGAACTCACTCCTGCTCTTGAAATCCTTCCGGAAGGACGCTACGCCGTACCGTCGTATGATTGGTTGCGATGGCGTCTCCAGGTTGCACGACTACTTCGGTGATAACACACTTTACCGTGAAGGTGTGCTTGCTGGAATCCGCTGGCTCCTCCACTATTATCCGATGATAGTACACCTTCTGACCCTGTATATCATTATCCAGATGTAATTTTACTCGAATCTACTCTAGCAACGGTTAGACGTACAAGACCGTGAAGGGTGAACATGCTAGGGAGAGTAGTATACTAAAAGGAGAGATTAGACTAACTGTGGAAACAATGAAAGGAGTCATTGACAATCTTTATTCATCTCAGTCGTTAATAAATATGTGATATAACAACCGGTGATGTTATGTGTATCCACTTTCGATCATGGAGGTTCATTCACGACAGAAATAACATTTGTTCATTTCTTCTTAATTTATTAAGAATTACTCTTTTAAATTAACACTAGCGTATTATACGATTTAATTCAATTTATAAAAATATATATTACATTTGAAACCTTTCGATCTCCTAATTTCAATTATAGTTTGTATCTATCATAAATAAAGTTCTGTAGTTCCTGGTGCCCAACTATTGTCGGCTTTTAATATACTCGTAACAATCGTTTGAGTTCTGTGTTTTTTAAATTGTTTATATTTATTTCTATATACGACATTGTCTTTTTTAATTCTTACGTATAGACAAAAAAAATATCTACATTTTGCAATAATTTTTGTACGATAAGTAAATGAATGATATCTACTCCTATATAACGATAAAATAAAATAAGATTATCAAGTTTTCCTTTTTACTTACCGTAACTTTATTAACGACCCTCGTGATGCCACATCGTAGCATGTCTTGTTCTAATAACGATAATCTGAACGTGGCGACTCCATCGCTGAGTTGTGGCTTGCAGGTTGCGTCTGAAAACCGAAAGAGAAAAATAAACGTTCGAGATAGCAGGTAGGTAGGTGGGTAGTAGTAAGTTGGAAGACCTCGTTACTCGTGAAATTAATTGTTGATCCGTTAATGACGCTTCTATTTGATCGATATACATTACCTGGATAGTCCTTTAATTGTTGAAGATATATCCTAGCTTGAGGACTACTCCTGACGATGTCAACTTCCATAGACTGCTCGGAACATCTTACTTTGCTTTGAACTAGAACAGAAAAGATTGAAAAAATAAAAACACTTATAATATATTATAAAATTATAATAATAACACTCTTCTCTCTTTTGATTGAATCGGTCAAAAATTTACGATCTTATCCTATTCGAATTATATTTATTTCATGATACCGAAGTACATTTAATTGTATGTTCGGATGATCATGGAATAGAAGGCGGTTACGAACATCGATAGAAATCGAAAGACGACCCTAAACGATCTAGAGTCATGATCTTATCCGAGTACGGAAGAAGAGCTTAGCCGTACTCGATCCGCCGGTATATACTACGATAATTGCCCCATAAACTCGTGAACGTCTCGACCTTGAAAAACCAATGGAGGCGTATTTCTCGCGTGACGTATATATCAAACTAAGCCCCAACACCGACGTTTATTCGTAAAACTTCGATGATGAATAGTTTCGATATAAGACAATATCGAGATCTATCTAATATACCACTATCGTAAAAACTTTATTAACGAATAATGGATTTTTCTTTTATATATACCTGCAGAATAATATCAAAAAAGCAATTTGTAAAGGTGATAACACGAATTCTTATTGTTAGATATTATTAACGCATGTAATAAGAATACTTGATAGGAAAGTAAAATGTATGTTATATATATATACATAGAAATTTACATAAGAACGTGGGAAGCGATTTAATAGACCGTACCACCATCATCGGTTAATTTCTCATTCTCATAATATTACCTTCATAAAGAGTTATATTCGCGGCAAAAAGTAGATGTTAAACCAGTTTGCAGTTATAAAGTAACGCGAATTAGCGACATTCCTTTCGAATAAATATATATATATAGGTATATATGTGAGTATACATTGTAGCGAACGCGAATCGTTCGATGATTGTACGCCTTGGGCTAATTTAATTTTGATCGAACGATAAGCTTAGTCGGCGAGTTCCCTTCTATTCTATTGAATGTATGTAAGTACCTCTAGGTAGAGAAATATACCTACTATGGTTCGTGAGTTTTGGAAAAAAAACAAAAAACAAAAGAATTGAAGAATAAAAAATATGGAAGAGTAATAGATGGTTCGGAGCGCCGAAAGCTTTTGATCCTAGCAACGACCTATATTAATTTTATGTTTTTAAATTGAAACGACGATTAATATGAGTAATAATTATAAAAGGGGATTTTATTATGCATTTGACGATTAGAAATAAATATCGAAGAGTAAGAGAGACAAGGATTGAGAATACATTGAATTATTTCTTTAATATCAATATGAGAATATACATTTCCTTTTTGTTTTTTTCTCTCTCTTTCTCTCTCTTTCCATTGTCGTTAATATTTAATTGCGAAAAGTTCCGGAAGATGTTAGACTTCCAACCGAGAAGAACTTGAATTTCGCTTCGGTAGGATGGTTACGCACGAGAAAACAATTTCAACGGTCTCCCCGTGGACACGATTTGGCATTAATCACCGAGGAAACGGTGCGAAAACGCAATATTTTCTCGAAACTGACATCGCGCATCTTCTCCGAACACCAACCGAGATATAATTCACGTTCAGGTATCATCGTCACGCGCGCAACACGGTGTTAAGAACTCAGAGAACGTTATCGTCCATGGCAAAGTCCTGCGGTGTGGTAGGTTTTATATACATCAAGAATTTTTTATATATTAAATGTATGCATATATATTATTCTTTTTAGGTCATTAAGTGTCATGATGATTAACGAAGAAGTAGAAAAATTTAAAAAGAATAATCATTTGTTGAAATGCCTATTAATTAAATTGTAATTATACTTAGTATCACGTCTAAAGGTATTCTACACTTTAGAGACTATTTAAATTACAATATTTTTAATCGCTATATATATAAATATACAAATATGAATTTATTACTTGACTTATCTTACATACAGTACTTTTTAAGACGATGATTTTTGTGTGATTCGGAAAAAGTCGATTCGATTTATTTGGTTTTGTATTAGATCACGAATGAAGTAGCCCTCATCGTCAAAGATATCATGGTAATCATAGTCCTCGTATTACATGATGATAAAGGTATAGAACGATCTTCTCATCATGGTTATCCGTTAGAGATGTGTGGAGTAGTATGTGTGGAAGGTACATAAAGTTCGAGATTCATGGTCTTCCGGGAGCCTTTACTGAAGATACTTTAAAGAATCATATTGTGTTGAGAGATTCTCTTATCTATTCCAACAATTAGTCTGTCACTTCGTTAAGGGAAATATACTACGAGAAGATACTCAACGTTCTATCGAGTGATCTATTATGAAAAACAAACTTGATTTTTTTCTAATAAATATACGTTATTTGACAAACCATTAAATTTTGACGATCAGTCGATTTCTTAGTCAAAGAAGATAATATTAACGTAGAATATTATTTTTCATAGTTGTATTAGCTCGTATATCGCTCTTGGCAAGTCTCCTCAATCTATGTAAATTCGTATGTAGGTATTTACTTATTCGTATATATATATATATATACATCAGTTCTTACAGGATCGTTCGATTTTGCGACGTCACGATCTCTTAACGAGACTAGCAATAAAATCCCTCCTTATTTTCTTCCGTTGGTCGTTGATAAACCATCGTTAAGATTTTAACTGACAATAGTGTCAAGCACGTACTATATAAGGTATCAATAGAAGTTAAGAATACCTCACTCTTGTAAGTAAGAAAATAAGAAAAAGCAAGAATGACTGAAAGAATTTGATTTGTGATACGATCGATAAGTATATATTCTTTAGGATATTACATACACATACATATACATATCTATATATATATATATCTAAATAGATATACCTATACATATGTAAATAGGTAGTATATTATTGTGATGAAGCCACGATGGGTATTCGCATATCTCTTTGATACGTCAATAAATTCACTATCCGTTCAAATGCATTGAAATCACTGTCTGTTCAAGTGCATTGAAATCACCGTATCGTTTTACAATTGCGAGCTCATATGAACACCATATCCACCTTCTTGAATATATTTCCTTTGTTTTCTTCTCTTTTTGCCTCTCGTCTTTCGTTGGTAGCACCTTTGACTCCTTCGGTATTCTTACTATGATATTAAACCTATAAGACTAGAACTTTTGGTCTTTCGCGTGCATCAACGCGTTTTATGCACGCGTGTAAGCCTCGTCACTCGAACTCCGTGGTCGGTTAACGCGTAAATTACGTGACCGCACAGCATGGCGTTTTTAAACATCCTTACACCATGCCGCACGCCGATATCCTCTACTCTTTTCCATTAGCAAGCCTAAGCGTTTTCTATGGTAGCACTAGAGATTTCTATCCTCAAACCTGATGTTACGTGATTCTAAATCATCTCTCTAACTTTCTCACCTTCCTTCCTTCCTTCCTTCAACCCTATTCTCTTCTCCTTTTTGTTTTGTTTTGTTTTTTTTTTTTAATTTCTTTCCTGTTTATTATCCCGTATTTTCTCTAATTATAAGTTCCGATATTCTCAGCTTTTTTATCTTTACTCTTCGTCATCGTATTTTTATTCTCTTTAATTATAAGAATTTAACCCTCCATAAGGGGCAAATTTTGTTTTAGAGATGAGTAATTGTTTAAGAACAAAAGTTTCTTATTTTTGTTTTACGTAGAATATAATATTGTTATGATTTAAAAAAGAACAATTGATCTTAAAACTTTTCATTTAGTAAATAACATTAAATGCCATAATATTTTTCTCTTAAAATAAAATAATTCTTCTTCGAACAATTTTTCCCGAAAATTCTCTGTTTTCGTTAAATGTTTAAAATTAAGATAAATAATTTACAAAAACATCTGAGCTCCGATATACACTTCACGATCTATCTAAAAATCTTAGAAAGTTCACAAGCCTTTCTTGAGACTTTAGATTTTCTTTAGGTTTTGATAAAGATTGTATTTTTTATTTCTGATTTTGTAAATATATATTTACATCTAGATACGTATGAAAAAGGAGAAAATTATTTTTAAACTATAATCTCTATCCCTTTTTATCTGTTCCTATACAGACAGTGAATTAGTAGTAAGAAGTTGAAATTGTACTTAGTCAAGAAAAATAATAATCGCTCTCGAAGGAAAGCTAAGGAGTTAAAGGCGACTAAGAAACGGCGGCATCTGAACTTCTCCTGATGTTCGTAGAAGGCCTTTGACCCTACTTTTCTTCATCCTTTCGTTCCTTCTCTTCTTTTCTTATTTTTCTTTTGCCACATTAACCAGGTTCTTCGTTTCTTTCTACATTCCTTTTTCCACTTTTGCAAAGAGTCAAATATCACAATTCTACGATAATAAAGAAAAATTGAAAAAAAAAAAAAAAATGTGTATCCAGTAAATTCTTACTCATTCTAATTAGATATTAAAAGCGTATAACACGTAAAGTAGAAGTTTAGTACGGCGGTTTGGTTCAAAGAATAATAGTTTGAAATCATAGAATATCTAAGCTTCCGCGTGTATTTTAACTCTCGATTCGGTACGAATGTTTTACGAGTTAGAAACAACACGCGAGTGACAAAACGAAATATGAAATGTTTTGTTAACCAGTTTCGCTACCGATAATAACAAAATTCTATCACTAGAACGAGTAATAATAGGCACAGCAGACTTGAGCAAGAAAAATTGAGAATGCGAATCATCGATTTGATCTACATAATCATAAAGGAAAGGAACCGATTTATAATGAAAATATTTACAATTTTTTTTATTATCCAATAGTTAAATTTTCTTACTTTATAATCATCTTAACAAGATATATTTTAAAGAGATTAAAAATTAAATACGACAATACGATTAATATTCGAAACGCGATACTAACCTACGCTGGATAACTGTACTAAAAAGATTCATGCAGACCACGTTAAGAAGGTAAACAGTTAATCTATGCTCGGAAGTATGAAATTTGTGACACTTCATGGCATTTTTTCAACACTTTTTAAATCGATATAAATTTTGATAGTTATTCTATAAGTCATTCTTTTTAACAACAAAGA